GGTTCTTGATGGTTCTGGGTGGTTCAGGATGGTTTTGGGTCGTTCTAGATGGTTCTAGATGGGTTCTGGGTGGTTCTGGATGGGTTCTGAATGGTTTTTGATGGTTCTAGATGGGTTCTGGGTCCTTCTGTACGGGTTCAGAGTGGTTCTGGGTGGTTCTGGATGGTTCTAGATGGGTTCTAGATGGTTCCGAACGGATTCTGGACGGGTTTGGATCGTTTTAGATGGGTTCTAGATGGTTCTGGATGACTTCTGTGTGGTTCTGGACGGTTTTGGATGGTTCTACATGGGTTCTTGATGGTTCTGGGTGGTACAGGATGGTTTTGGGTGGTTCTAGATGGTTTTAGATGGGTTCTGGGTTGTTCTGGATGGTTCTGGACCCTGAACCAACCCCTCCTGAAGCCCTTTAAGAGGCTGAGAGGGAAAATCTTTATCATCTTTATTATCTTTATCAGTTTATTCTGGGACGTGTTGCAGGTTTAGACTGGAACTGGGAACTTTAAGTGGACTGGATTTGGGTCCGTTCCCCGCCAGCAAACCGGTTAGATCAGTAGTTCCCAGTAAAGGTAAAAAGACCAGACTGTCAAAAATGGAACTCAGATTCAGAGATCGTAATACAAAAAAACTTTAATAGAAACAAAGACACTCACATGGAGTGGAAGGCAAACTACAAGATAATAATATCTCTAGAAAACAAGGCAGACAAATCTAGGAACAAAAATGAACAGATTCAGGGATCAGGGGGGACTATCAGACATGTGACACACAGAGGAGACCTGAAACAAGGGGATGGACCTTTCAGAATAAAACAGGAAGTGACAAAACAACCATGGAGACAAGACAGAACACCTAAATCCCCCATACGGGACACAGGGTCAGGGATATTAATGCTGCCACCGGTCAGTTTGAAATCAAATTTAACTGTCAAAATTCAGTTACATTTTGGGGTCTTTGTTTTTATCTTTGTGGTATCTACTATCGAATATTTTCCTGAGTATCGTATACAGTCACGGCCAAAAGTATTGAGAATGACACAAATATTATATTTTCACATGATCTGCTGCCCTCTGGTTTTCATG